CAGAAATATAAGTAATTTATTTATATTTTAGATATCATATAAAAATATAATATCATCACATTACTATAATATTTACTAATTTAAACTATTAAAAATAAAATAAATTAGACAGTAATATATCAACTTATTTCCGTCTAAAATTATTTATGAACTTATCATAAAAGAAATGGTGAAAAATCACCCCGTAAGAACAATTGATGAGTGGTGTTTAGGGACTAAGTTTTTTTTTTTTTTAACAAAAAAAAAAGATAAAATATTCAAATTTAATGGAGTAGAAGTATTCCAATGAAGATTTCTTAAATAATGAAAAAATTGGAAGTTAAAGGAGCAACTAAAATAGTCTTTAAAAGTAAACATCGTAATGTTACCTTGCACTCTAATTTTTTTTATTGTAAGAGGCAAGATTAATTTACTCATCACAACAACTCATTATTAGCTGTTGTAAGAATTACAAGTAAGAAGATTATGTGTCACTCATTTGTGATCTAGCCTAGCATTTCTAAAAAGTGATTTATTATTCGATTAATCATTTAGGAAAGAAAAACAAAAGATTAAATTTCATCTTGACAAATCAATTTAATAAGATTATACATTGGAATGAGGAATGTGAATATTACCTTACATATTATAGTTCATTTTAAATAAAATTAACATTGAATAACCAGAGAAAAAAAGATGAAAAAAAAAAGAAAAAATCAAGCAAAATGACTTGAGGTATAGTAAAGAAATAAAGAATTATCTAAAGTTCATCCAACGGATTGACCATTTTATAGTTTGTCATGATCTCTATCATGACTTTCTTGAGACCATTTTATAGTTGGTTACTGATAAATAGGAAAGGAGTTTCTTTAAAATAATGAGATAATAGTAAAAATAATTAAAACATTTGTTCTCTCAATTGAGATGTCTACCATGTTTTATAAGATAAAAATATTGTAATGAGAGAGTTTGTCTAATTTTAATAAATTTAAATTGTAACTTCAATATAAAAAAAAAAAAAAAAATCTAAATTATGAGTAATCATTTTATGATAATTAGCATAAAAAGCTCTTAAAACTTTTTAAGACAAGATCCTCCTAATTAAACATTCCCAATAGATATGAGATAATTATAAGGAGCTTTTACAAATGAAAACATATACTTAAATCATTCTGTAAAGTATTAGAAAATCAAAACTCAAGTTTAAAATTAAAAGCATGTGCTTAGTTGTGAAAAAAAAAAAAAAAAAAAAAAGAAAATTAATGTTAAGCCATCCATGTCTTGTTAAGAGAGTTGCTTTTGGTTGAAGAAGGCTACATAGTATTAGAAGAATCAATGTCCTAAATTTTTTAAAATACTAAGAAATTTATCCAACTCCATCAATTTGTGCTTGGATATGGAGAGATATAGCCATTCATTTTTTATTCCAGTGATTGTTGAACTATGATGGCTACCAATCCATCAATATGATCCATAATACTACAATCATGAGAATGTGAAGAAGAAAAAATTTCATATTGGATAACTATTAAATATTAGAATTTTCACTTGTAAAATTGTTTATATTAGAAATATAAAATAATAAATGAGAAAAAAGTTAATTTGGTGATAAACATAGAAAAAATTATGCAATTTAACTGGTTCATATTAAAATGTCCCCCCATTATATTAGACTATCTACATATAATTATCTTTTTTATTAATGTATTGAATTTTTTTTAGTAAATTTATGCATTTATTAATTATATGATATGCATACACCAGTCACATTAAAATAAAAATAACTTCCAAACAATAACACACATAAGAGGACCGATCCAACTCGACTTATGACCTCCTATAGAAGAATGAATGAACTAATTATCCAACCTAAGAAGTACAATGTTAATATTCTTTTTATTTTAAATGAGGGTACTATTAAGTAAACTTTTTGTACATTGATACAAGTTAAGTATCTTCTATTACAATTTTAAGGGCATATTCTCCTTAATTAATATAGTACAATTAGAATTTACTCTCGTTAGTGTGCTATGGATAATAATTGAATATGAAACAATGTAATACCTGGGCCCGAAAATCGGTCCAGGATAATCATTTTTATTTATAAAAATTATATAAATAATTAATTTTATTTTATTTAAATTATTGAGAAAAATAAAAATATGGACGAAATTGAAAATAATTTTGGGAAAAAATGGTGAAATTTGAATAAAAAGGGATATTTTTGACAGAAAACTTGAAAACAGGGGGTAAAATTACAAAAAAAAAAAATTCGACCATGTAGGACGGCCCAGTTAGCAGCCACGGCAAACCATAGCACACCGTGTGGCAAAACACGCTGACATCGATGCCACGCAACGATCTGTGTGCCTGGCGATCTGACGGTCCAATCATGTCTCGCGTGCACAAACGAGATAATCACGATGAATGACTTAGATTTTTCCATGCAATCGGTCGAAACATATAATAATCGGACGACTCTCCTTGCTCCACATTGACGTGGACAGACAATGCAGATCGATGCGGGATGGGTATTTAAACATCATGTCTCAGGGAACCCTAACCATAGCCGCACCTACCCCTGCCAGAGAAGAAGAATTAGACGCTGGAGAAGGAGACCAACCCCCAGCCACCGCCAACCATAAAAAAAGATATAAAAAAAAATTTCCTGCTCGGAATTCAATTCCGAGTCTCCTTATGGCCATATCAAAATCAAAGGGACTATGGGTGAGCCAGAAATTGCAGGCAAATCCCGACGAAGCTACCGCAGTCGAAGCTCTAAAACCCCTTCGATGAGCCCTTTTTCGCTTCCCATTTCACATAATTTTTCGATCATTGTATTTACCGTCATTTTCTGTACAGGTTAGCCGAAGGAGAAACCTCAACCGCGAAGGAGAACCGGCAGAGCCATCGCACCCGGAGACCCCTCTGTCGGTAGGTTCAGTTTTTCTTTTTTATTTTCTAGCCAACCGAGGCCCTCTAACATATTTTTCTGTAGGGATACATGTAAAACTAGCCAAAACTGGTCAAAGTCAACCAAAACTAACAAGTCCGAGGTGAACCAGTAAGGATCATGAGGACCAATCTTGCTATCATTTCAACAATACCTGTCACATATGTGGTAGTGTCTAACACTACGCGAGAAAGTGCTCCTAAAATCAGAATCAGGTCAGACCTCATATTTAGGGTAGACTTTATAACCTCACCCAACAGGATGCTAAAGCCAACCCAGACGTGATAAAGGGTATGTACACTATTTGTGATCACCTTGCACATATTTTGATTAATACTAGTGTTTCACATTTGTTTGTTTCACATACTTTTGCACAAAACTTGAATGTATGGCCTAAGAGACTTGATTCTGTATTGTTTGTGTCTACTCTTAGAAGTAGAACACTACTAGGGGATGTTATATACAAAGCTTGTATCATAGACATAACAGATAGAAAATTGAGCGTGGACCTGATAGAGATTAACACGAGAGACTTTGATATAATTTTAGAAATGAACTGGTTAGCGGCGTATCACGCTACCGTAGATTGTTTTCACAAGAAATTTGTATTAAACCCTCATACCAAAGAGTCATTTACAAAGTAATAAAAGTTTTGAATATTATTCCTTCATAGTAATTTCCTTATTACATAGCATTTTAACTCGGTTGTCTTCTCTACATAGGCAAACCTAAGAATGAAGTTTGCATTCAAGAGATCCCAGTAGTCTGAGACTTCCTGAATGTATTTTCTGATGAACTAACCGAACTGCCAGTGGATAGAGAAGTTGAGTTCACTATAGATTTTTAGCATAACACCCAATTTATCTCGGTTGTCCCTTACCGCATGAGTCGTATTGAGATAGAAGAGCTGAAGAAACAGATCAATGAATTACAAGATAGTGGGTTCATCTAACATAGTATGTCTCCTTGGGGTGCTAGAGTCACATTTATAAGGAAAGAGAATAGAACATTAAGATTATGTATTGATTATAGGAGATTAAACGAAGTCACAATAAAAAATAAGTACCCCTCCTCAGAATTGATGATCTTTTTGACTAGTTGTAGGGTGGCTAGATCTTCTCTAAAATAGACTTGCGTTCAGATTAGCATAATATAAAGATCATAACAGAGGACATTCCGAAGACAACCTTCAAAATCATATACAGACACTATGAGTTCATGGTCATATCATTTGGGCTAACCAATATATCAGCCATTTTTATGAACTTGATGAACAATGTTTTAGATAATTCCTAGATTATTTGTTATTGTGTTTATCGATGATATC